CACATTTTCAGGAGGGGCCTTGATCTCTTCTCCAACTCTACAGATGGCATCCAAGATAACTTGGGTGTCTGATGACCCTGTTTGGGTTGATCAGTGGCCCCTTACTCAGGAGAAGATTATAGCAGCTCATATACTCATTAATGAACATATGATGGCGGGGCACCTACAGCACTCTAATAGCCCGTGAAACACTCCAATTTTTGTAATTAAAAAAAGTCGGGAAAATGAAGATTGCTCCGAGACTTGCAGGCAGTCAATCACACCATGGAACCTATGGGAGTATAACAACCAGGATTACCTAGTCCTGTAGCTATCTCCTTACATTTTTCTCTTAGAGTGATTGATTTAAGGGACTGTTTTCTTTCTATACCTCTCTACCCTCAAGATAAAAAATGTTTTGCTTTTAGTTCACCCTCTATTAATCACCAGGCCCCTATGTGCCACTTCCAATGGTGTTGTCTGTCACAAGGAATGGCAAATGGTCCAACCCTGTGCCGAGAGTTTGTGGCTGCAATGATTTTGTCGGTACGACAGGCCTCTCCATCCGCATACCTTATCTATTACACGGATGACATTCTTCTAGCACATGAATCCCCATCCACCTGACATCAAATGTTTATCCAATTAGATGATGCTCTTCCCGATCCAGGGCTAGTGACAGCACATGAAAAGGTGCAAACTATGGCACCTTTTTCACATTTGGGTCACTTTAGCCAACAGAGACATATTGTGCCCCAAAGAGTTCAGATCCAAGTTCATCATCTTACAACACTAAATGATTTTCAGACTTTACTTGGTAACATTAATTGGATCTACCCAGCTCTTAAGCTAACTACTCATGACTTAAGTCCTCTCTTTGACATTCTCAAAGGGGGCCCGGCCCCCACTTCTCAAAGAACACTTACATCAGAGGCGAAAACTGCCTTAGATAAAGTTAATCTGGCTCTTTCTGATGCTCAGCTCTCTAGAGTTGACCCATCTCTGCCAAAGCTTTTAATTACTTTCCCAACTCAGTCTATGTCCACAGGGATCATATGTCAGTCTCAGGGTCCTTTACAATGGTTATATATGCCTCACACTCCATATAAAACTGTTACTCTCTTTCAGGATGCTGTGCCAGAACTGATCACACGTGGAAGAACACGTGCTAGCCAGCTTTTTGGTCATGAACTGAGAAAAATCATTGTTCCTTTTCCTTCAGTGCAATGAAAGACGTTGTGAAAATTTCCATCCTCTTGGCAATCTGCACTGGCTACTTTACCTGGTGTTATTGATTGTCATTATCCTTCAGATAAATTAATTCAATTTGCTACCCTCACACCTTTTGTCTTCCGTTCAAAAATAAGCTCAGTCCCCATAGCAGGAGGCATCCCCGTCTTCATGGATGGCTCATCTTCAGGTAAGGGAGATTATGTAACAGTCTCCTCTTCTAGAATACAAGATAGGGCTTCTCTTCTGCACAAAAGACTGAATTACAAGCAGTCATACAGGCCTTGCAGGATCATTCATCCACTCCAATTAACTTCCTTTCAGACAGTGCTTATGTCTGCGGTGTGATGTGCCATGTTAAAAACACCATTATACACACTGGTCAGAAACATCTTTCTCATTTACTTCACACTCTCCAACTTGTCATACAGTCACATCATGTTCCCTGTTTTATTGGTCATATATGTTCTAAT